AAAACAGGCAATATCCACAGCTACAGGCGGCACTTGCCTGAACCGTGCATTTGCGGCCGGTACCGCACGCCGCACTGGCCTGAACCGTGCATCTGGCAAACGCCATGAGGAGGCAGACCATTTTCTGTCCATCGCCCAGAAATGTAGCCGGCAACTCTAAGAACCCGCCTTAGTCCTATGCTCAACTCTAAGCGACGCTCTACGCTCCACTCTCACACGCGCGCGCACACACGCACACACACACACACACACACACACACACACACACACACACACACACACACACACACACATGAATCGATGAAAGTCCGACAGTCGAAACAGTCTGGCATTTTTTTTGTGTGTGGAGTTGTGTACAGCGAACATGACAGCACACACACACACACACACACACACACACACACACACACACACACACAAACACATGAATCGGTGAAGTCCGACAGACGAAACAGTGGCACAGTCATGCTTTTTTCTTGTGGAGTTACAGCGAACATGACAACACACTCATCACACGCACGCACACAAGTACACACACGCACGCACACAAGTACACACACACACACACGCACGCACACAAGTACACACACACACACACACACACACACACACACACATACACGACACTGCTAATCGGATTCTACAAGCCCGCACACACGCACACACAAAGTACACACAGCTACTTACATTTTGGGGGGGCAGTTCGTGCGGATTTGTGGTCACTAACATCTTGGTGGCGGTGGGGCTCTCCATCGTGAAGGTAAGACGCTGGGGCTCGGACTGTGCATTGGGTGGAGGCTTTCAGACAACGGCGCCACAATGCCTGAAGGTGAGTCAAACCTCCACGTGCATATGCCTACATGTGCTTCATTTTTTTCTTTTCTGTGGATCGGTACATATGTGTGCATGTGTTTCCTGCTTTTTTCTTTCCTGTTCCTTCGTTTCTTCCACAGCTAACGCTCCACGTGTATGTGTGTGCATGTGCTTCATTTTTCTTCCTTTTCTTTCGATCAGTGCATGTGTGTGCATGTGATTCACTTTTTCTGTTTCCCACCCCCCTAATTCTTTCGTTCATTCAATCGGTCCTACGGGACATTCTCCCTCTCTCTATTCGTTTCTTCACTCCTATGTCAGGAACTTTTCTTTCTTCGATCGATGCTTACGGCAATGTGGGTAGATCGATTCATGCCGCAGAGAGAGAGAGAGAGAGAGAGAGAGAGAGAGAGAGAGGTGTTGAATGACCGCGCCCTCGGGGAAGGAAGGGGGAGGAGACGTGCAGATGGACTGCAGCTGAAGAAGGCACACAGGTGGTGAGAAGGCACTGGGAGAGCTGGGAGAAGGCACGCAAGCCGGGGAGTATGGGGAATGACAATTGGATGCAAAGGCACTTGTAGCTTGGCTTTGATCTTTGAGAAGGTGGTATGCTGAATATTTTATTGACCGTCTTCCCGCGAAGAGAACGTACGGTCATGAGAGAGAAAGAGACCAGAGAGGGTGGACTCTCTCTCTCTCTCTCTCTCTCTCTCTCTCTCTCTCTCTCTCTCTCTCTCTCTCTCTCTCTCCCACACACACACACACGCCACGAGACTGGGATGCATCGACAAACCCAAGGTCATTACCGCTGTATCTAGACTGAAAGCTGCCCCAGATACAGGTATGTTGACCGCGCGTTTTCCAAAAAGTAAAAGCAGCATACCATGTCGATCGCACGATCATCGCCGCTGTTTTTGAACATCGTAGCATCACATGGCCACCTGCACAGTAAAATAGAAAAAGCTGCGTAACCAAGAGAAAAAATACGGAGCATTCCACATCGCTCAATCGCTCGACAGAGAGAGAGAGAGAGACGGGTACGGCGCGGATCTCTCTCTCTCTCTCTCTCTCTCTCTCTCTCTCTCTCTCTCTCTCTCTCTCTCTCTCTTGCGTGCGCGCGCGTGTGGCATATAGTACGCTTCTCTATGCCACTCCTCTACGCTACTTCGGATGTATCATCCACCATTCTTGACCGTACGTTCTATTCGCGCACGAAGACGGTACTACCAACCCTGAAAGACGATATCATCGTTTCACGGTTGTTGCTAGCCTCTTCCTGTGAATAGAACATACGGTCATATGTGTGTGTGTGTGTGTGCGTGTGTGTGAGAGAGACAGAGAGAGAGAGCGAGAAAGAGAAAAGGCGCGTCAGCCGCGGTTCAAGGTACTGTTAGTCGTGAGGAGGGTCATGAGAGAGAGAGAGAAGACGCACAAGGCGCGGATCGAGGGAATGTTCGTCGTGAGGGTCTTCGTGTGAGAGAGAGAGAGAGAGAACGAAGACGCGCAAGGCGCGGATGAATGAAGTCTTCGTCGTGAGGAAGGTCGCATTCGAACTCAGGTCTGTGGATGGACTGCAGCACGTGTGTACCATTTGGTTTGCTAGGGTGTTCTTTTTCTTGGGAAGGGATAAGAAATTAGACCATTTCTCCATACATACGTGTCATCCTTGCAGGGGCCATGTTAAACATCTCCTATCGATCCATTTTCAATTTAGGGGAAAAGAAAAGAGGTGGGAGAGAGACAGAGAGACAGAGAGAAAGAGAGACAGAGAGACAGAGAGACAGGGAGACAGGGAGACAGAGAGACAGGGAGACAGGGAGACAGGGAGACAGGGGGAGAGAGAGACAGGGGGAGAGAGAGACAGAGGGGCTGGGGAGGAAGAGCATGAGGAGAAGGACGACCGGATTGGAACTCAGGTATGTAGTTACGTGGATGGAGAGAGAGAGGGGGGGGGGGATGGGCGAGGACGAGCGTGGGGAGGAGGAAGGGCATAAGCAGAAGGCAGAGCGGATTCGAATTCAGGTACGTAGTTACATGGCTGCACATAGAGAGAGACAGACGCGGACATAGGGGATGGGAGAGGAAGAGCGGATTGGAACTCGTATCTGTAGTCACATGGGTGTAGAGAAAGAGAGAGAGAGAAGATAGGGGAGGACAAGCGTGAGGAGGCAGAAGAGCACGAGCAGAAGGAGGAGCATGAGCTCAGGTCTGTACTTACATGGGTCCAGACACAGAGAGAGAGGATGTGGGAGGAAGAGTGGATCCGAACTCAGGTCTGTAGTTACATGGGTGTACTAGATATATATAAAAAAACGAATTTATTCTTTTTTTTTTTTCCTTTTTTTCGCTTCTGCGCTCTGATTCACAGTGTGACAATATATACAGAGAGAGAGAGAGAGACTTTTTTCCGCCCTGTCCACGAAGTGACTCGGATACGTGCCCCTTCGTTTTTCTTCGACTTAGGTCTTCCGGTGAATGCTCTAAAATGCACGCCCAGCATCACGGCTCACATCACAACGCTCCTTAGAATGCGTGCCCGAATGTTCGTACCGAGCAGCAAATGCCCAGCAGATCAGATTTGAATACAATATTCATTCATTACAAGACCTTTTAACAACAACGGCACTCTTTTGATTGAAGGCGACTTCAGACAACTACCCCCGATGGACTCTCCGTCACACCATCTGGACCCAGCGAACTGAGACTTACAAAGAGAGAGAGACAGACAGACAGACAGGTCGGTCCTAAGTGGCTTGATTTTATCGTTAAACTTAAACCCAAAAAGATAACCGAAGTGGAAGAAGACCCCCGTCTGTCCCCTGCGAAGAATTGCATGTCTCCTGGCATCCGAAAAACAATATTCCATACACACCAAGGGAAAGTTGTGCTGACCAGGTAAAGATCCACCAAGTACATATGGCACGGGTCAGTTGATATCCAACTGACACCAGACCACCATGCACTAAGTATACATGGCACGGGTCAGTTGATATCCAACTACCACCAGACCGCCAAACCCCTCTCTATTATGCTTTTGTTCGCAAATTTTCCCTTTTTTCTGCGGGCCGAGCCCGCAACAGGTAACCTACCGTCCACAGTAAAATATCCAGCGAGCAAACTGAGAGGAGAGTACTAGCAAAAGCCAACAGGAGAGCTCTGGGTCTGAACTAAACATCGGCTCCATCAAACCAGACAACGACTGCCAACTGCGACGAGCTACGGATGCCGAGTTGCATGGGTGTATTAGAGAGAGAGCGAGAGCGAGAGAGAGAGAGAGAGAGAGAGAGGAAGCTGGCAGAAAAGCTGTGAGTGATACAGTAATAGGTGCGGTGGGAAAGTACGTTGTCGCCACGAAAATGACCGGCAAGGTGACAGCTTGGGAGCAAGAGCGCAGGAGGGATAAAGGAAGGTAGTCAGTCGCACACTGTATTCACATGGCACATCGACCTTGATTATCTAAAGAGCACATGGCAACAGGTTAGGACATCGACGACCTACGCGAACAGGACTATGCGAGGGAAAACGACATTCAGCACCGTGATTATTCCATAGCGACTACTTGGATGAAATCATAACAAACACGCCGTTGACCTCTCTCTCTCTCTCTCTCTCTCTCTCTCTCTCTCTCTCTCTCTCTCTCTCTCTCTCTCTCTCTCTCTCTCTCTCTCTCTCTGTGTGTGTGTGTGTGTGTGTGTGTGTGTGTGTNTCTCTCTCTCTCTCTGTGTGTGTGTGTGTGTGTGTGTGTGTGTGTGTGTGTGTGTGCGCGTGTGTGTGTGCACACGCCCCTTTCTCGCTGCCGTGCTCGCGATTTTCTGTATGCCAACGCAGTCCTCGTCACTGCGAACGCATATGCTCGATCGAGCGGATGGCCTCCCACAATTGCAGGCCCGCTGTGCAAACGCAATCCCAGCTGCAGCCATTCACCAAGAAAGACGCTGAACTCCGCCATTTGCAAAACGTCATTGTCAATGCCTGCCTCTACCCTATTTGTTTAGCAGTAGATATATATAGATGAATATGTAAATATATACAAACCACACAACAAAACATGGAAAAACAATAGATCTTCGTTGTTGGAGACGAGCACAGCACGTGGGTGAGGCTACCCAAACGGAACACAACTGCGTGGAGAAGGGCCGGAGGTAAGGACAGGAGAGGCGATGCGAAGTAACGGGATCAGAACTTACCTGATGTGCTCGTATAACTCCTCAACGGTCTGCCCACGTGAAGCTCGGACCACAAGCGTCCTCTCATCCTGACAAGTGCATATAAAGAAGCAGATCAGTTGCTGATCTTTAGTTCGCACAGGCCCCGCCACGTCTGATTTCCCCACCGCCGTAACGGCTGGGGACACCACTCCCTCAAGCACCCGTACCTCCTCGAGAACGCCTACCGCGCCCTCCAGAGACCAGACGCCAGCGGCAACAGTGGCCTCCTGCCGCCCAATGGCGATTCGTTCCTCAGTAGCCTCAGACTGTGCTTGTGTCTGTGATTGCACGCGTGGGTGTGTTTGACCCGAGACGAAACCGCTACCCGCAATGACGTCTGATAGTGGGGGATTGTCATCGGGTCCAGATTGCTCAACAGGCTCGCCAGAGAGCTCATGGAAATCGCCGAGAACTTCGGCAGCATGACTGACAGTTGGGAGAGTAGCACGGGGAGAGGGGAAGCCTAAGCTCCGTGTCACAGCGCGGCGAACCTTCCACGGACGAGATTCGCCGACGGCGGAAACATGCAAGCCAAGGCCGTCATCCGCAGAGGACGGTTCTTCGGAATCCAGTCTGGCACCTCCACCCACTCGACGCTTGCCTAATTGCGTCAGTACTGCTCTGGAAGAACAGGCCAGGCCAGTACCTTCCATTGAGATATGAAATCCTCGAATCTCACAATACGTCAGGACCTTCAATTGCGAAGATGAACCAAATCCTCTCTCTCTCTCTCTCTCTCTCTCTCTCTCTCTCTCTCTCTCTCTCTCTCTCTCTCTCTCTCTCTCTCTCTNTCTCTCTCTCTCTCTCTCTCTCTCTCTCTCTCTCTCTCTCTCTCTCTCTCTCTCTCTCTCTCTGTGTGTGTGTGTGTTTGTGTGTGTGTGTGTGTAGGTGTGTGTGTTATGCCGGTCGCATAGACACGAACAACGGCACGTCAGCTCCCTCTCTCTCTTTCTCTGCGTCTGTGTGTTTGTGCGCCTGTGTATGTGTGTGTGTGTTGTACGTCTATCTGTGTGCGCCTGTGTTGTGCCGGCCACATAGACACGAACAAAGGCACGTCAGCTCCTGATGGCTTCCTACCAATGGAAGATCGGCTACTGATCGCTGAAGGGGCATCTCAATTGTACCCGAGAACACGTGGACAGACGAGATATCAAGCGCAGCAACGCTACAATACTTCATCGCAAACGCAACACTGCTAAAGTTCGCATTCGCAAAACATCATCCTCGGAAGCGCCCGAAACGGCACTACTCTATCAATAACCTCCACGACCCCACGTCAACCTAGAAGTGGCTCCCAACTCGACTCGATCGCCCTCTCCCGCAGAAACAGAACAAACAAATAGCTCACCGGCGGAGCCTTGCCCTCGCCCCCGGGTATCGACCGGTAGATTATAGACGAGATCAACGATAGAGGAAAGGAACTCCATACCACGCTGACGTGGAAACTCCTTGCGCTAGGTTGACACGAGAAACGGCCAGGTGTTACACCGTCGCGCACACCTGCGGGGCCAAGAGACCGGAAAACCTCCTCACGCTCCCGCTCTCGACTGCACTCATCACTCCTTGTGCCTCGGCTCGGCGCCTCTCTCTTTTCTGAATTCAGCGCTCGGGCATTCGAAGAGCCAACAGCCAAGCAGAGCCGCGAAAAAGCCCGATATGGGCCTCGCTTTTTCGAGGTTTCGCTTGTAGCTACAAAAACTTTCTGGCTGTCCTTTTTCCTTTTTTTTTGGTGCTTTTTGGGCAAACTGCAGAAAAAGCGACAACGCCCCCAAAGAAAGCAAAGCCGCGGCGAAGGACCCAAATGCGCGCTTTCGCCGCGCACCACAACCACACGAATGAACGGGCCGGTTTTCTTTTCGTCGTGTTTCACACGGCCAGGTTTTTTTTACCCGTTTTTTTGGGCAAAGCCGCGGCGAATTTTCTTGGTGGGGAGCGGCATTTGGTGGAGCCATTTTTCCCATTTATTTATTAGAATAATTTGCAAGATACCCCCAGAAGTTGAGATAATTTGTAAATTATCCCTTGTTTATTTAGGCAGTGCGCGGTTTTTTCGAAGTAAATTTCGCTGAAATACCCCTAAACGTTGAGGTATCTCGTTGGATACCGCTGAAACACAGGGGTTCGTCGAATGCCCTCAACGTCTGCTTTTGCCCCTCTCCCGGCCATGGGCAGCTTTGCCATATGCCCTTGGCCGTGGACTGCAGATGCCGGTGCACTACTTTTGCCCTCTGCCCCTCTACCCGCCAGGCATCTTTTCTGCTTGCTCACATCCAACTCCCCGCTGTCGGGGAAGACCGGAGTGGGAGGGAGGGAGACAAAGAGAGAGACAGAAAGACACAGGGTGTGTTCCTCGGAATACAAGGCACCTTCATTATAACTGTACTGGACCTGAAAGGTCGCTTCTATCATTCCTTATTAGGCTGTGTTGAGTTCGTGGGAAGATAACACATCCCGATAACGAATGTATACAAGTGATCTTACCGGTCAGGTACACCTATAATGAGTCTGCGTTGTGTTCGGAGGAAAACTCTCTCTCTCTCTCTCTCTCTCTCTCTCTCTCTCTCTCTCTCTCTCTCTCTCTCTCTCTCTCTCTCTCTCTCTCTCTCTCTCTCTCTCTCTCTCTCTCTCTCTCTCTCTCTCTCTCTCTCTCTCTGTGTGTACTGAATATGTTCACCATGGACCAAGTAGGGTCTGGTGATGGGACTGCTGGAACCAATCCCAGAGTTATGAGGGCCAATTTGGTCACCAGGACAGGGCAGATTCCAAGGGTTCTGCGTGGGACGGTGTCGTACATAGCACGAAAACCAGGGGGAATAGCAAGGTAATTGTGCCAGCTCAACCTTCCCAGCCGGCAGTGGAAGAACCTCCCATCACGCTAGAGGAAGATAATGATGAACATGATGATCGGTTGCGGGAAGAGGAGAGTAAGCAGGCAGACTTGAGAGTTAAAAGACGAAAACAAGGAATTAAGGAGGGGAGAGAAAAGGTGGAAGAATGAGCGAACAAGAAGAGGAAGTTTTCAACTTTTATCGAGGAAGGAGTCGACTTGGAAAGATTGGTGAACAAATTACTCGAAGGATACAATGAACTATTGAACTTGAAAGAAATCTTGACATCAGCTCCCAAGCTCAGGGAGATGGTGAAGGCAAGATTGTCAAGGAAGAGAGTAGCTGCAGTAAGACTGGGGTAGCTAATTCCTAAGGAAGCACATTGGGTTGTTGCAGGGTGTAAGATGGACTGGCAGTCCGTTGGAACAGGGTCGGTGGACATAATGATCAGAGGGAAAGGATGTCCCGAAATAGTAGACACTGGAGCAAAAATGAACATCATGAACTCTGAGACGACTGAAAGGTTAGGGTTGGAGATTGATAAGAATGACTGTGAGTCTTTTAATGCAGCCAGTGGAAAGTCGGGATATTGGGTTGTTGCAGGGTGTAAGATGGACTGGAAGTCCGCTGGAACAGGGTCGGTGGACATAATGATTAAAGGGAAAGGATGTCCCGAAATGGTAGACACTGGAGCAGAAATGAACATCATGAACTCTGAGACGGCTGAAAGACTAGGGTTGGAGATGAATAAGAATCACTGTGAGTTTCTTGATGGAGCCAGTGGAAAGTCGGGGTATATCGGGATTGCATCAAATGTGATAATAGAGATAGGTCGAGTGAAAGTTCGCACATGTTTCTATATCATGCCAAGCCTAGACATTCCCATTTTGTTGGGAAGGTCTTTCCTGTCGAGATTTGAAACGCTTATAATGAACAAACATGATGGCACAATGTTTGTCATTTTATGACCCAGCTTTTGGAAATTTTGAAGTCATAACGTAAAGAATATCGGACCTCACATCACAAAGAACTGTCTGAACTTTTGAGGTCATATACTTTTGAGGAATCCGAGGTAAGAGGAGAGAATTGGAAGGGTAATCAGATAATGAGACCATAAATGAAGGATCTGATGGAATGATCCTAAGTCTAACCAATATAGGGGAAACCATAAAACTGGTTTCTACATATGGGATGACCGAACTCGAAGCGATTAAAGCTTTGGCCGAAATGGTGCAGGAATATGCCGAAGGTGGGAGAATTGATCTCGTATATAGATCTTCGCACCGGGAAAATGAGGCGCAGGGGCCCTATGCACAATCCAACAGCCAACATTTTTTAGGGGTGGACTCAAGCAGGGGAGCAAAATGAGGTACAAAACGGTAGACGAGAAAAATCACCAAAAACAGTCTTGGTGACCGATGAGAAAGAGGTATATTACGAGCAAGAAAGACAATTGATACGATATACGAAATAAAAAGTTGAGACAAAACCTTGTCGGATCAACCAGGAGAACGAAAAAAATTGATAATCAGCGAGTCATGGTTTCTAAGTGAGCAAGAAAAAACTCCGATGATAAAGTTGATGAAGGAAAAACATTGTACCTATGCTTTCGACGATGATCAGCAAGGGAGGCTGGATGTGGACAAGGTTAAGATGATCTGTATCCATATTGTCCCGCATAAACCTTGAAATGTGAGAGGGGCTAAGTATCCAAACCCGTCCGATCAAAGGAGGGTTGTCGAATACTTGGATGGCAAAATACATACGCACGTGGCAGGATTCTCAAGTGGGTCATATGCATCACCTTAGTTTTGTTTTATCAAGCCGAATGATGTACTTATATGGGTACAAGACCTACAAAAGTTAAATGTTGTGACTGTTAGGGATGTTGGTGACCTTCCCAACGCGGACCAACTGTCTGAAGCATATGGTGGAAGATCTATAATATCTCTTATAGATCTTTATTCCGGTTATGATCAGTTTCCGGTCTATCCGGCTGACAGACCCATAACGGCAATGCACACCCCTAGAGGGTTGATTCACATGAATGTGGCACCTCAAGGATGGACGAATGTTGTGGCGATGGTCAGAGGAGCATGGTTTGAGTGATGCAGTCGGTCAGTCCTCAGATTACCCAACCATAAATTGATGATTTAGCGATCAAAGGATCGTTGAAGAAGAACGAGGAAGTAGTACATGAAAAAGTGGCGTAAAATTCAGGCACTGCATGAGGGAAGCAACGATTATAGGATTCGTATGCAATGAGCAAGGAAGACGCCCAGATACGAAGAAGACAAACAAAATCCTTGAGTGGTCCACACCACTTAAGAATATAAGTGAGGTACGCATCTTCCCGAAAACGTGTAGGTTTTGAAGAACATTTATCGCTAGATTTGTAGCAAAGACGGAACATTTGAGAAAACTGGTGAGGAAGGAGCAAAAATGGTAATGGGGAGAGATTCAAGAGCAAGTGGTCATAAAATTGAAGAAAGAGTTCAGAGAAGGGGGTTTGGTGATGGGTGTACCAGACTATGATGCCATCATGGAATGTCCCTTCATAGTAGAAACAAACACTGGACCTATTGCGTTGGGAGGAGTTATGATACAAGTCGATCAGGAAGGAAAGGAAAAACTACTAAGATTTGAAAGTCGAACTCTAAACTTTACGTAGAGGAATTACTCACTGTTCAAAAAGGAGGCTTTGGCGATATTGCACTGCCTTATAATTTTTTGGCAATACCTTTTTGGAATGAGGTTTATCATGAGGATAGACTCGACAACTCTCATGTATTCCCTTAAGAATTTTTTTCCAGCAGACCCTACGATCGTCATATGACTTACTTATATCTGGATGTTTGACTTCCAGTTGGAGCGCATTCCTAGTAATAAGAATAAAGCGAACGGGCTGAGCAGGATAAAATGGGAAGATCCCGCCACGACGGAGGAAGAAACTCCACCAGTTGATGAGTTTATCAACGTTGCCGAAATGCGCATCCATGTTAACTCTTGGTCGATGTTTGTTGAAGACAAAGGAATTCGGAAAGGGAGTCCTATGTAGTTCGCCCCAACAATATTTTTTAAAGACGAAAGCTTGATGATCAAACCATTCGTGGAAGAGGATCCGTGGGGAGGTAAGGACATAGAGTGGATGATGGGTTTGGCTTTGATCGAAAGCTATAAATTGACAAATGAGCCAATTACAATTGAGGTTAGGGTACTACAAGCGGATGAACATTTGACAATGATGGGGAGGATAATTTTTCTCACCAACTCCCTCTTGAAAAATGGGAGGGGTAATGAAGCCGTTTGGCCTGACGAGATCATACTAT